TTAACATTTAATATCTATGTCTACTACAATTCAATATCAAATTTCAGATACTTTAGACGCCAAATTTTAAAAGTTGAACGAAATGGTGCAATAATTTTCTCACGAAATATGTTTTTAAAGACAATTTTTTCTGAATGCATGATGTATCGAATCGATCAACTAAAATATTATTTACTCAGTCTTTAATAGTCTTCTCTATTAAAAGAAACCATAACAGTTTTAATTGAAACAATGCAAAATTACTTGAAATGTTTAGAATTAGCATTCACGCTCATGCATAAGCCTGTCACAATTTGTATTCATAATCCACTATTTTTAAGCAATCGCAACCATAATTCAACTAGACATTTCTTGAAAAGAAAGTGATAGATTTGATGGTTTCGTGCAATAAATTTCATTGAAAGAATATTTTTAGATCAGGTTTTAATTTTCGTAGAAGTTTAAATTACAGTTTTTTCTTTATACTAATTTCATAGTTCTTTCTTAACTGCCACAATTCTTAATTATTTATATTATACCAAAAGGAAACCTCGATTTACATAATGTTAAAATCTTTTACTGCACGTACTTATTACAATGGGCCAATATGATCATAAGCCTGTTTAATGCCAGAAAATAATAGAGTAGAAAGTCTTCAGATCGTTGATTGAATGTCAATGAAAGCTCCTTTAATGCCGAGGAGAGTTCCATGATCCTTTCAGTCCAAACTAGCAATTGTTGTTTTTGATTAGCGATACAAACCGTCTTGATTAATAAACATTGATTTAAACGCCTTACCTGAAGGATTTAATTAACTCGATGACTATATAACAGGTCTTTTCTGACTTGAAAATTATTGCAATTTAAGTGAAGATTTAACGCTGTCATCGGTAAGCCTCTCGGAAACTTGGACTGTGTATTATTTTAGGGTTTACTTTGGATGTCAAGGAGGACTTTTATCTTAAACAATGCTTTGATGCTCGAGCTGGCTTACTATTATTCTAATTATTCATTCTTACTGTCAAATGACCACTGAGTTGGTTTGCTAAAGTGTCTATATTAATTATGATTGACAAGAAGTGGTCACACAGCATCTTATAATATAGTTTTGGTTTTAGACACATTTTTACCTGAATACTTGAAAACGCTTCCATTTGATACTTCGATTATATTTCAATCTGTATATTCCTCTGCCTTTCAACTTTACCACTTTGTTCTATGGCAATGCCAGTTTATAGAAATTGAGTCACCTGCATACTATCAAATTTGACTAACGATGTTATATAGATAACATTAAAAGATATAGACGTGCATCACGTGACTAACCATGTAAGAAGGAACCAATATCATTATCAGTGACAGGGGAAAAAAAAAATAGAAACGAAAAGAAAGTCCAAATTGTCATCAACTTACATGAGAATTATATAAAACACTCAAAAGCTTTTTCTATAATGGATGCGATGCTGCTTCTGGTGCATGGTCAATAAACACTAAACATACTGGTTTATGTGACTACATGTATTATTAACTCAATTCATAATTTCATGTTTTTTGTCAGTTGTATTTCTATTTTTTATTTTCTTGTGTATTGTCTATTGCAATTGTGTGATAAAAAAATCAATGTACTGATTATGCCTATAATGGGTCCTCTATTGGAAATAAAATTTATCTTCTCTTATCTTAAAACAACTGCTTTTTTGCAAAGAGAATGCTTCGTATACGTATCTGTAGTTATTATACAAAATATCTATGAAGTTGTGTTTCTTTAGGTGGTGCAATGATTTAACATACACCAAAGTATAAGTCTTATTTGTCCTCCTTAAGTGATGAAAGAGGGAAGAAAGATACCAGAGGGACAGTCAAACTCATAAATCGAAAACAAACTGACAACGCCATGGCCAAAAATAAAAAGACAAACAGACAAATAATAGTACAGATGACACAACATAGAAAACTAAAGACTAAGCAACACGAACATGTATATCAACAACTGCATACATTCAAACCATGCATATTATTCATGTGTCGCTTTATGAGATCGAGTACAATCTTCTTATTTCTATATCCTAATCAGTTGATAGGTTTGTCACTTATGACGTGTCGATTTAGTAGGATGTGCACGCGTGCTTGCGGTCAATACCCTTATATTTTACAGTTTAGGGGTTGTTTGATTGTAAGTTTTTTTTATGTGCCCGTCCAAGGCCATGAATCTGTAGTACAATGGCTGTCGGTGGTTCTTTTTATGTTTTTAGTTTAAACAGACCATTGGTTTTCTATTCTAAATTGTTTCATATCTAGTTACTGCAGGGAAATTTATAGCTTATTATTCGGTATTGGGTTTTCCCGTTGTTGAAGGCCGGTATTTGAACCTGTATTTGTTCAAATCCTTGTCATTTGCTCTTTGGAAAAATGTCTGTTGGCAGTCGTACCAAATCTCCATATTCATATATGGCTGGTTTAGATTTAGAAAAACAATGAAAAAACTCATTAATATTATTTCGATTATCATTATCAATGCAGGCAATTGAGTGCCACACGCATATGAAGAAAATAAGTTGGATTAATATAACACCTTCATTCTTTACATTTTGAAACGATTGAATAACAGTGTAACTACTCCTTTGTGATATGGTTACAATGTTAAAGATAAATCATAAATAAACCTCTTAGCATATGCCATTTCACGACACCGGGTAAACATCGAACAATTGTCCTCGGATATCACGTAATTTACGTTTCTTATACTTTTTTCATAGCTATGAATAAAATAATAAATTTCATTATCAATTTTAACTATATAACAAAATACTTTTAAAATTCAATTTTTAGCGCAATGAAAATTCAGTGTTCAAGTTTCACGACTATTAAGATTTCTGCAAATAACACTGAAGCTTTAAATTAATATTTCAATAGAATATAATTACACAGTTAAGCCTTCTTCTTTTTTCCTCACATAATTTCCACATATACTTTTCAAAGAAAAGTAGTTCATTGTACGCAAGGGATTTATATTTTATTGCTGATATTTTATTAATTGAATTTATCATGAACAAGATTAAATAAAAAAAACAGAAAAAAACCCAGAAAAAATGACACTATGATTCAGAGGTTACTGGTTTTTTAACCAAGCAACTATTTGCCGGTCAGGGGGCCTCGGTGGCCGAGTGGTCTAAGTAGTTACTACTGTAATCACTAGCCAGTCAACACTGAGGTTGTGAGTTCGAATCCCGCTCGTGCGGGTGCACTCGACTCCAATCTTAATTGACTGGGATTGTCAGTTTTCCTATCGAAGGTCGGTGGTTTTCTTCGGGCACTCCGGCTTCCTCCACCAATAAAACCTGGCCGCCATGAAATAGCCCAAAAGCGGTGCTTAAAAGTGGCGTTAAAACACCAAAAATTAAATCAAATTTGCCGGTCATGAAAAATTGAAATGTGATATGCAGACATCTGCTTTGAATGACAAAAATATTTATATGAGCACTCATTGCTCAGTGCTGGTACAGTCGCTTTAAATACTGGTAGAAGCGACTTGCTGACAATGCTACACTACTTACCTTTCATTGATCACATCAATTTTGTTTTACTATCATTCTTGCAATCATGCATGTCTGTCACATATTATGTTGCTTTAAATTGGTGTTTAGATAATTTTATTTGGCCTTTTAAACTTTTTTGATTCGAACATCACTGATGAGTCTTTGGTAGACGAAACGCGCGTCTTTTCAATCCTAGTATCTATGATGAGTTTATTTGCTATAGATCAGCAAAGCCGATATACCAAAATGCAGACATCAGAGTGAACACTTTTTAATTATAAAAAAATATAGTTTTTCATGAACAGCGTTCATTTCGAAGGTTAAATAACATGCCATGAGCAGAGACAAAATTGTTCTAAAGGCATGCCATAAAACAATCCCTCAGTGGTTATGTCCAGAGGAACTTCAAGCAATGTGTCATAAACACTGATTAATGTGGGTTTAATTTCTTTATATGAATAAATAAATGAATGTTTTATCGAAGTGCAACCTGTATATATACAACAGATGCATGTTAGTACAATATCACATTAAAGCTAGCCTATTGAATTGTTCGAAATACTAAGAATTTTCTACCCCAGGAATAATCCTTAGCTGTATTTTGCAAAACCTTTCGGAATTTTGGGTCTTTAATGCTCTTCAACTTTACTTTATTTGGCCTTTAAATATTTTTTATTCCAGCGTTACTGATTGATCTTATGTAGATTGGTGTACAAAATTATAAACCTGGTATCTTTGAGAGTTTTATGTCTGTAATACTACACATTTTGTATGAAAACGCCTTTTAACAGAAGGGATTGTAAAATATAGTTATTACAATCCCATTTAAGAAAAAAATATTGAATAAGCCAAGCTAAAGTACTAAAACATTGACATTTGTGTCGTTTGTTTTGCTCACACATTGTTGTCAATATAATGATATTATATGCAACTGTCATAAAAGTGAGAGGTTAGGCTAGCTATAAAACCAGGTTTAATCCACCATTTTCTATATTTTCTATATTAAGGAAATGCTTGTTCCAAGTCAGTAATATGACAGTTATTGCCATTCGTTTGAAGTGTTTGAGCTTTTGATTTTGCCATTTGATAAGGGACTTTCCGTTTTGAATTTTCCTTGGAGTTCAGTATTTTTGTTATTTTACTTTTTTTCAGAGCTCTGACAAATAAATTAATCATCTAAATTACAACATGGGTAACATATGATGACAATCCTATATAAAGGTCTCATAGGCCTATTTTCAGTAAAAAGCTTTTACTCTGTACAAATATCATATGATTTAAGTTCTTTTTGGATCTTCAAACTAAATATTTTCATTAAACATGTACGGCTTTTTGTGAAATAAGGTGTATGTGGCCTTACTTAAAATATGCCAATGTATGAAGGTTACACACATTAAATTTCAAGACTCACGATTATATATAAATTGTGTGTAATGACTCTGAAATGCCTCTGGGAATAGAAGGAGAAAAGAAAAACAATGCAAATCCATGAACACTTTTATTAATAGAATAAAAATTTACAAATATGCTCGATAGATGGAAGGTTTTAAATTACTATAGGGATAAGCATGAAGAAAAATCAAACATAGTGTTTTATTTAACAAACATAGGAACTTTCTTCATATATTATAATATCTACAGAATATTGACTACCTGCACTAATGCAATATCTAAAAGAAACTTATCATTCCACCATTTATTATAAAGTTAAGACAAACAGCATCTCTTCTTTCCCTTATGATACAGTCCACTTTAAGAATGTAAAAACATCCTGGACAATAAGCATTTTAATTTCATTCATCAGTGAATTTTACAGGTAGAAACAATAAAAATGCAACGCCATATAGCATATCAATGGTCTATTTAATATCTTTGTCTTAACCAGACCAAATCAATGGAGGTTCCAGAGTATGAGAGGGCATATGAACATCAAAACAAATTTAAATCTCATGTTTTTCATGATATATGTAAATTTTTAGTATATAATTGTCCAAAAATTTGTGGCGCCTCGCTCTGCTTGCCAGCAAATATTCAATTTTTGGGAATTAAGCCTCCTTTTCAATAATCCTGTATCTGCTCCTGCAAATCACCAAACAATACTTTGAACAAAATTATTTATTTTCAATTGACTGAAACATAGTTATGAAGATACTTGAAATACTTAGAACTAGAGTGAATTAAAACTCGGCATTGTTATTTTATTTCAGTTTGTAGACCCCAAGTAGCAGCAGTAAACACCAAAAGAAAATGATATCACAGTTGCTTCCCTTGTTTAGAGCTAAGGAATACTTCAGTTGCCTCTTTCAGAAAGCACTTTCAAAAATTACTTAATCTGGATTACAATAATCAACTACAAAAAACTGTCAGTGTCTATCACAAATTGGTTATTGAATATCTAGTGAGTGTGTTCTTGCATACATATTTCCTTACTTCAATAAGAATCAAACAAAAGGAACAGGCTAAACAATGATATTGTATAGAAAAATCACTGATCAACAAATCATCAGCATAGAAAAGTATATTCTGAGTAATATTGAAGTTAAATCTAGTGCTGCAGAAGGGCACCTGTTAACAGGTAAGACTTAGTCTATCTCTTGTTAACAGGTAAGACTTAGTCTATCTCTTGTTAACAGGTAAGACTTAGTCTATCTCATGTTAACAGGTAAAACTAGTCTACAACAAACAGAGATTTATGGTTTTCTTTGAAACTGGTGTATATCACACTATCTTAACTTATCAACTGTTAAACCCTTGACAAAATGTTTCATCTTCTATTAACTTCATTACTTACCAAACCATTTAACCCTTGAAAACAATACATGTCATGTGTCAACTACATTACATATAAAACAAAAATTGTATTCCAATTAATGCTAAAATAATCCTTCAAATATAAATTCAATATATATTTTTGCACTTTTTTTTAATAGATCTAAAAGTCTGTTAAACATCCATATTTAATAACAAAAGGAGTAACTTTGGTAAGATGGCCCTGAATATTTTGTCCATTGTTTCAAGATATAAAATATTTCAAGTTGACGAAAAAACATGTACAAAAGTGAAATAGAACAATTTTTTTACAGCTTTTCTTATTGTTAAAATTTTCAAATCAAATAGGCTTCTATGTAGAGATTTTGGTGAAATTTGACAGAATCATCAGGATTTCAACCAAATTAAGCCTAGGAAACACAATGCGCAGCCTTTGACAAACTAAATATTCAAGACAGATATGTAATATGTTACACAAACAAAAGGTCAAAAGATCTATTTTGTCCTTGCATGCACTATTATGTTTTCAGTAAAAAAAAACAGTGGAAATTTAGCAACAACTTTAATTTTCAACAAATAGACACATTTCATGTCTAGTCATTGTTTTTGCTATGATTCATTGAGATACAAGTCAATAAATCCTAATTTGAAAATTTAGCTCGAAATAGGGGCCATTTTAGGGCCTTATCAAACATACTCCTTTGAACATCTTTGATAAATTTCAATGTTCTTCTGATGTTAAACAAAGACAATTATAATACAAATATTGGATGTCATTTTAATGGTAATTATTACAAATAAAGCACTTTTTTTTTATAACATACTCAATTATAAGAGAAAATTCAAAAATTCACAAATAGACTATTATAATAAACTTAGTATGGAACAACTTTTCAAATACAACTAGAGGTATACTGTTGATTTTGTGTTTTGAAATTTTGGCACATGTTGTTGTCAATAAAACCCCTTTTTAAGAATAGCTTACTATAGATGCTGAATTTAAACAGAATATTCTTCAGCATAAAGAGACATGGTATTCACAAGAAGATAAAAGTGGCTACTATACATTCTTTCTTACTTACATATGAGAACATAAAAATAAATAATGGCTAGTCAGTACATTTATCAGATTGAATATGGGATGCTTTAGTTAAAATTTGTTTCCTAAGAGTGCATAATTATCATGACTTCGATCGCCATAATTTATGGATGTTTTCTAGATGGTCTGCTGCCCTCTGACTTACATTAAGTGCAGGATGCATTGGCTGTATACCTTCTTCTCCTACCAATGACATACCACATACTCCAAAATAGGCATGGAGGGCATCTGGAATATCAAAAACTACATTTATATACCTGCATTCTTTATTTTTATAGTTACTATAAATTCAGAAATTATTGCATGCACTTATTATTGCCATTTTTGAAGAATGGACAAAAATGCCAGATTAATTATTGCGATTTAAGGAAAATCTGCATACAGATATATATGTATCAGATATCAGAAATTGAATTCTTATTATTGCAATAATCACTAAGTCACATTATTCCCATTAACAAAAACCTCGCAATAGGTGGTGAGAAATATTTTTATTACATTCAACTGTTTTATTCCTGATTTTCCCACTTATAAAATTTTTAAAGTTCTGATTGTCCCGCATTATTTTATTATGTTAAATATTCTTAAATAAATAACATAATTGTTTCTTATTTTGCAGTATCAAATCAAAATTGATTATTGCAGGAGGATACTAGTAGTTGATATCAATTTTATAAATGTTAATATAAATCATTGACATATAACATATAAGATATCTACTAGGAATTTAAAAAAAAATATCAATATTTTTTTTACCAAATCAGTCTCAAAACCCTTGTCAGAGTGCTCATAAAAACAAAAAGAATAAGAAAAAATGTGTGTGCATGTGTTTAAAATTTGAATAATCATTTCCAATCACAATGTTACATAGTTACTAGATAATTATAATTTGAATAATTAGAGGGAAAGGCCCAAACCTACATTCTTACTTAGGAAAAAGAGGTATATGTGACCTAGAAGTGTCATCAGTGTATTCTGAACATACATTTATTTATAGAAAAAGAACAGATGAATGTTTAACATCCAGAGTATGTATATATATGGAATATATTTTAGTTCTTTGTTTAATGAATATATATATTATCAGCCTAAAACCTGTCAATTTGAGAATAAGTTAACGAACATGTAAAATTATTCTCATTTCTTTGTTTTTCTTTACACACATCTTTTATTTCTATTCTATTCTTGATAATTCTAATTTTTTCAATTATGTTTTTGTTAAATTTTAAATCTACTTTTATCTTCTATGAAGTTAAAATGTATTCTATTTTTTTTTATAATATTGTTTTTAATTTGAACAGCAGTTTAACAAATTATCACAAAACAAAATAAAATATACTTAAGGTTTAATTTGTTTCACAGAGCTATGGTCATGGATAATTCTTTTTTTACAAAGTCAGATTTTAATCAATTTGTATTTTTAATACAGAATGTCGAATTACAATACGAGTTATCTACCTTGGTGCATAATATGATAAGAAGACGTCGCGCACTGAAAAGCAATCTACACTCTTGATTGTATATTTCCGTAAAAGCCAAAGTTACATTTAATTTATTCATTTTTCTAATTCATTTTATTCATGTTTTATTTATTTACTATTTTACTGAGAGGCTTTAAAAAATAATTAAAAAAAAAAAAAAACCAAGATTATTTCAATTTATTCTTCGCAATCTGTTTATATAACCCCTTAAAACATATTTTTTTTTATCACATATCATTTATTTTTTATTAATGTACGTCATACTTAATTGTGTCATTCCTATTTTAAGTTTTTTTTTTTTTTTTTTTTATTTAATTAATGAAAAAATTGTGTAAAATTCGGATAATTTTAAACATTTTTGACATTTTACTACGTTTTACAATTTGTATTTGTTAAATAGTTATATATTTGTATATATAGTGTCTCATAAGCCTGTCTAGGCTGGGTATTTGTCTTATTTTATTGTTATGCAATGTATTTTATATAACCTGTATAAAAATCTGTAGACAAGTATGTGACACTTTAATAAAATAAATTATTATTATTATTATTATTACTATGTAAATACCAATGTTTTTCCATGTTTATTTCAAATTTCATAAGTTACAGTGATTAATTACCAGTAATTATCTGATACACACTCATACAACGTTTAAACTTCCCAGTTGTCCAACAAACATCTTCCCGATTGTTTTTAAGATTTATACATAATTTGAATATTCTTGAAATTTTGTTAATTGTTTAACTAAATATTTTTTACTTTTGTATTTCCCGTTTACAATTTTTATCTGCACATTTGTTTTAAATTTTACTGCTTCAAAATAAATTCATGGTGCTCATATTTCACAAAACACACAAAAGAATACACTCTCAAAAACTAGTTTGAGGCGCACTGAAAAAATGAGAAGAAAGCATGTTGAAGGTATCTATAAACTGAAATTTTACACATCTCCTTTCATTTCTTTACACTGAAATAAGTATTTGAGTATTTTCAATTACCACTGTTGTGATATAAGCTTTATATAAGTAAAAAAATCTTTTTTTTTTAAATTGCATACACATTCAAAATCTTGTTTCAGAATTATCCATTCCTGGAGTATCAATTAGGTTATGTATGATTTTTCAAGGAGTGTATTAAATTTAATTACTATGACTCAATATGTACAAGTTTATATTTTCACTGAAATTTACTCAATTTGGAAATTAAAATATCATTCAGAATGAAAGAAAGAAAACAGACAAAAAATTTATACATCTGTAAGCTAAGTAAATTAAACTGAGAGGACAATATAAAGTAACCTTCTTACCCTGAAAATATTATAGATCAAATATATCATCAAAGACAATTTATTTCCAAAGATAACTATTGTTCCTACATCTTAATTACAGAGTCTTTTGATTGGTTGAGAAGCAACTTTGCTGCTAAGCAAGCAATAAAAAACATAAAGCCACACCTTAAGTGAGAAATGTGAAGAAATATTAAGTTAATGGTCACACGTTAAAAAACTTAAGAGCACTTTAACAGAAGAAATTAATTTTTATTTTTCCAATTAATGAGAGATTTTAATTTCAGATTTTTCTAAAACCAAAGTGTCGATTTGTATCTGAAGATTATGTACCTATAACTACAGAATCCAGTTACAAATAACTATATACCATCACACAATATGCAAATTAATTCTTTGATCCTTCAATCAACTGTCTTTGATCAAAGGTAATAGTGGCCTATGTCGTGATCATCGTATAATGAATAGCTAGTCTTAATGATCTGAGGTGCAGTTCTTACTTATCTGATCATACATTCCATGTGTTACGTTCAAACAATGCTGATGTATTTGCATAACATAATGAAAGTTTCAATCAATTTTAATTAAGTAAAATTTTTAATTCCAAATGTAAACTTCAACACTTTAAATAGAACGTTAAAGTAAATATCCCATTTAGTTATCTTGCAGTAGTAAAACTAATTCCTTATTAATAGGAATTAAATGAAAAATATCATTAGTAAATATTTAGGAATAGCTTTGATCTTTTTAACATTAAATTTTATTTTGTTTTACAGTTTACAAAAAATGTAGGTCTAAGTTCATTGTTGATGACCAAACAGTGATGTATAGGTATTTGCTTTTGTAGCTTTTGGTTTTTAGAGTGGGTGGCTTTTGTCAAAACTTCCAATCATACCATACCTCCTTATTTTCATATTATAGATGTATGTTTGAATATAAGAGTATATACATATTATTATGAATTTTTTCCTCATTTTCCATAGCTGCAGATGATATTTTCAAGGAGTAGGAATGGTGAGGTTTACAGGATTTAAAAATTTATCTTCAATTGTTTTCCACATTTTTTATTTTATATTACAGTAGCAGTCTTTTTTTTTTAAGCAGTCTGAAGATTTATCAAAAGTCTGGTAGCATTTGGCCCTTTACAGTATTTTTCAGACCAATTTTGTAGTGTGATAAATTTCGATCAAAACTTGAATCTAATTTCTCCCAACACACAGATGTTCTTTCACCATAGTTTTATTTCCCCAATTCAATAGTTACCAAGCAAGTGAATTCAACTAATGCACAAAAAATGTTTCAGCTAGATAGAAACACTGGTGGTCATTTCGGTTGATAACTGATAATGATTCTAGTTAATTTTACTCCATATCTGTTGACACATTCACAATGATTTTGTTCATATTTTTGAGCCGCCTAAAAGCTTCAGCAAAAACCTTTGCTTCTACATACGATTAAAAATGTTCTGTAACCAAAATGTTTATATCAAATCCATACACACAATAATTTTCTGGATCATGGGTGGTGGTAACAGTTATCTATGTTAAAATCTGTTATAACTTGTGTAAAATTGGATCTAAATTGATGTTACATCATAAATTAAGCATAATTTAGGAGTCATTACTTCATAATGGATAATGCGTTTAGCTAAAAAGATATTTTTTTGTATACTATTTATATCACAACTATGTCAATGTAAAATTTGTAGTATTTTAGCCAGATAGAAAAGAAAAAAAATCTTCAGGCCAATTTTAACTCTTTGTGACCACTACTCCTTTGTTTTTTTAGATTTACTTTTTTTTTTCATTTTCATTTTTCAGTAACAGTGCAAAGACACTCCTGTTACATGGTAGGTAGGGTCAATATTACTATTCATTTTACAAAAGTTTGGTAGTATTTTGTCCTACATCCAGTATGCAGAAGGTTGCACTTTATGAGTGTTACGGTGGAGTTTAGATTTATAGAGAAGATTTGCAAAGATTTCTTATAGACAGAAAATACCAATGGTTTGACACAAAAGAGTATTTTATGTGAAACAATCATCATACTTGGATTGTTATCACATTTAGAATATATTTTGACTAATCTCTAATATCATAGTGATATAGAATTGTCTTTAGTATATAATCAATATATATAGTATAAACAATTATTGTACCTGGTGTGTGATCCGGCCATTTAGCAAAACCTCCCGTTATACTATTTTGTGTTTTTAACATATAACCTCTATTGAAACCTTTGTCTGTTAATTCAAACATATCTAAAAGCTGAAAAATATATAAAGCAATTTCATCATTATCTATAGCCACTAGAAGAATTCAATACATATAATTATATATATATTTATATAAACTGGGCAAATTCTAAAACACTGTAAATTCAGAAATTATTGCATGCATTTATTATTGCGAATTTTGAAGAATGGACTAAAATGAGAAATTACTTATTGTGATTTCAGTAAAATCTGCATACAGTTATATGTATCAGAATGCAAGTTTTTATTATTGCGATATTCATTTAGACGCATTATTCCCATTAATAAAAACCTCGCAATAATTTATGAATTTACAGTATTTGAAAATAAATTTGCCAAGAAAATAAGTTTTTTTAAGTAAAATCTGTACGGCTGATTCAGACTAGGCTTGTTTTAACCCTATGTGCATCAGCCGTAATAGAACAATATTACTTCCAGAAAAAAAACTTTCTATCTATTAAATATGAACATGGAAATTTTTTCACACCATTTCTGTCATTTTTCAAAGCTTGAAATTCATGTTTTATATTCAAGTTAATCCAGAGAAGTTCAAATTATATAGAATCAACAATTCTACAATATTATCAAAGGAACCAATATCTGTTTGTATACATTTTTCTATTTTTGATGTAAATTTGTTCTTTGTAAATAATAGTAACCTGTCTGCATACACTGATTAATATTTTTGATATCATTAGGTTCTGTAATGCATGTTTTCTTCACAAGACCTTACCAGTAAAACATTGATTTGTGTAGATTTATGTGTAGATATATGTGTTAAATATTATCAAGTTATGCTTCTTTCAATATACAAATTTTACAATGAATAAGTATATGTGTGTGAATAAATATCACATGGCCATAATGTGGTGAAATTACATATCTAAAGGAAACAATTATTTTTTTAAGAATAGCATTTATAATTGAATTGACAAATTACAAAGAAAATTGTTTTGAAGATCCAACAATTATTTTCACAAAATATTTTATGACAAAAAATAAGTGATTTAACATTTCAGAATAACTTACAATAAATTTTTATTGTAAATATTTTGGCAGAAGTAACTGCAGATCCCTTGCCATGTGTTTAAAATTAAAGGTAAATTCAACAGCCTGGAAAAGATAACACTTCTAATGAACCCACAGATAAATCACAATTGAGAAGAATAGACCATAATAATACAGGAAACACTCATAATGTGATCATGTATGAAAATTAACTAGCTGATCTATTCATTGCAAGCTGGTCACTAAAACAAAATGACTGATCTTATATTATGAATGTCCAAGATTCGGAATAAATATTTCAGTCATTTGCATCAAATTTTAGGCCATGAGGTTTTCTATATCCTTAGTACAATGTATATTAATTTTAACTCTAAAACCAAAACATATTTCAAGCATTTAGTATTTTTAGCCAACTAAATCCTTCATTTAAAAGCTTCAATTTAAACCTATTTCCAGACCCTTAGTAGGATATATTCAGAATTTTACCTTTCGAAATCCAAACATATTTCGTGGATTTGGTATTTTTTAGCCCATTCAATCCAATACTTTAAAGCTTTAATTTGGTCTAAAACTATTAAAGAATACACGAATAGAGCTCAATCACCCTAAAAATATTGTCTTATATAAATAAAAAAAAAAAAAACAACTGACCTTTAATGTTGCACCAACCCAAAACGAGTAACAAGTATCAACAGGTTTATTTGGTCGTCCCTGAAATCCTGTCTGTTGTCTACTAATGCACCATTGTTTTAAACGTTTTATTTCCTTTTCATTAAAGGCTTCATACAGTTTGTCCATTAGAACTAGTGCTGCTATTGCACAAAATGTTGATCCACCTTTAAATATACATACATATCATTTTTTTGATGTAAAATGGAATCTTACTATCTCTTTTAATAAGAAACTTTTTATATCTATAAGAAATTAACATTCATTGTGGTTAGCATTTTCTTTCTTGAAAATAACTGATTATTGGCTATTGATGAAGTTAGTTCTGTTGTCAAATACCTTAGGTAAATTTTATCTGCTTTGTTGGTTTAATTTTTGCATATCACTAAAAATTATATTTGAGAGTTAACTTGTAAAATAAAAACACATTACAACTAAAGACCAGAACCTGAGTTGCTTATTGGTACTCATTAAGTGCAATGTTGACCTGAATGACAAAAACATTTGTCTGATAAGGTTTGGTTTGAACTGATAAAAGGTTTTAACAGAAAGATTTGCAATAGTAATTTCCAGTTTGACCTATGCTTTTCATCTTATAATACAACTGAGTATAAAAAAGTAACTAAAAAGTAAAATAATACAATATACTGAACTCCTAGGAAAATTAAAAACGGAAAATACCTTATCAAAATGGAAAATCAAAAGCTCAAACGAATGGTGACATGATTTTTTTCAACTGTTTTTTACCTGAATTGCAGTAAATGGTTAAGGACCATCCAACTAATATAATTACTCAAAGCAGCACGAAAACTATATGTCATATAGAACCCTATGAGCCTCACAAATACAAAACAACCCTTTAAACTACACTGTCCCAACAAGGGAATATATGTGTATAAATAAAATTAAAGAGCGATAACTGTGGTTTGGGACCAGCATGTGATTCTTTATCTATAGTTATCACCCTTAGCTTTTGTTTACTACCTGAATTTTTTATTAATGTGGACAACTGGATATGAACATGTTTTCAATTTTCAAAGTTATAAAAAGAAATTAAATAGATTAATAAAGATGATAGGTTTTTATGCAGTGATCTGGCTAAAAAATAAAAAGCCCAAAAGACAAACAACAGTTTACAAAACACAACATAGACTGAGCAACACGAACCCCACCAATAACTGGGGGTGATCTCAGGTGCTCTTAATTGAATTCTAAGGATGATTTCAGGACTACCTATGACAGTTCAATTTGAAGATAACACTATTCCAGGTATATTTAACAAGTTAATTAATAAACTGTCACATTAACAAGAATGAAGTGACTAATTATTGTTTTGTTGTAAACAGTCAATTAAGATCAGATTTAACTTCATGTTCATGAATAATGTCAAACACATCTTATTTCAGTGGATTTTTTGCATTTTAGGCATGAAAAGTATTACATGACTAGAATTGGGATCAAAATAGGTCATACAATAATGTGCTACTTCATGCACTGGTACATATAGCACTGAGAAATCCAGGTGAGCGGATAAATTCCACAGTGTGATCTGCAAAAAGCAGGTTATTTGACAGGAACATAAGAAAACCAATAAAAAAGAAAGGGGTTCCACATACCCTGCCTAGTCTTTAAGGTGGTACCCAACACCTTGAGTAACATTAATTTGGCTCGTTTAATTTTCATAAAATTTTGACAAAATGTTTACTTTGACCCTTTGACAAAAATATAAAAATTTCAAAAAATTTGAACCAACCACTTTATCAGAAAAATTTCATTGGTTATATAGCAGTTTGACAAACACTAATTTTTTATCATTGAGAAGCTTAATATTTCCTTAACAATACAACTTAATTAAAACGTTTAGCTGATTTTTACAGAGTTATCTCCCTGTAGTGTTAGGTACCACCTTAATAAGGTCAAAGAAGTGTAACCATCCAAAACATTATCTTCTGAAAAAAATCTTAAAGTCTACTATAAAGCATAATAAACTGTTAACACAGAGATATGCAAATGTTTAAATTAAATGTAAGTTATGCAAATATTCAAAGTCAATGAACCATGACTGATGGTACATGGCTAAATAATCTTCATGGAAATGAGATGTGCCAATGCTAATACAACTGAATACCAAATACCATTGACTTATCATAAGTCATTCCCTTTAAACAAACCTAAACACAAACATTAACTTGTAAACTATGTAAAAGTTTCAAAGTCAATGAACCATGATGAGGGGGTGAGGCTTTATAATCTCCATGGAAACAAGACTTCCAAATGCCAATAAATTTGCATACCAAATATCATTGACTTAACATTAGCAGTTCATATTAAACTGATCTAATCACAAACTAATACATGTGAACTAAGCCAAAGTATCAAAGTCAATAGACCATGACTGAGGGGGCAGAGCCAAATATTCTCCATGGAAATGAGATGTGTTAATCCCTATACAACTGCATACCAATTAACATTGGCCTACCACTAATGGTTCCCCTTGAACTGACCTAATCATAAACTAATACATGTAAACTAAGCAAAAGTTTCAAAGTCAATAGACCATGACTGAGGGGGCGGAGCAAAATAATCTCCATGGAAATGAAATATGCCAATGATTATACAACTGCATACCAAATATCATTGACCTACCACTAGTGGTTCTCCATAAACTGACCTAATCACAAACTAATACATGTAAACTAAGCAAAAGTTTCAAAGTCAATAGACCATGACTGAGGGGGCAGGGCCAAATAATCTCCGTGGAAATAAGATGTGGCAATGCTAAAACCACTGCATACCAAATATCATTGACCTACCACAAGTGGTTCACCATAAACTAGACCTAATCACAAACTAATACAATTGTTGACGCCGCCTACGCCGGAAACAGCATACCTATGTCTCGCTTTTTGACTCCGTCAAGGCGAGACAAAAATGGAGCAAAAACACATTATTTTTAAAGAATTGTATGTCTATGAGGATAGATTTGGTGATCTTATCTAAACCTACCATGAGCTTCTGTACCTGGTCCTTGACCAATGCCTCCTTCATATGACTGTAAACTATATAATGAACCTACCATGAGCTTCTGTACCTGGTCTTTGACCAATGCCTCTTTCATATGACTGTAAACTATATAATGAACCTACCATGAGCTTCTGTACCTGGTCTTTGACCAATGCCTCTTCATATGACTGTAAACTATATAATGAACCTACTGTGAGCTTCTATACCTGGTCCTTGACCAATGCCTCTTTCATATGACTGTAAACTATATAATGAACCTACCATGAGCTTCTGTACCTGGTCCTTGACCAATGCCTCCTTCATATGACTGTAAACTATATAATGAACCTACTGTGAGCTTCTATACCTGGTCCTTGACCAATGCCTCCTTCATATGACTGTAAACTATATAATGAACCTACTGTGAGCTTCTATACCTGGTCCTTGACCAATGCCTCTTTCATATGACTGTAAACTATATAATGAACCTACCATGAGCTTCTGTACCTGGTCCTTGACCAATGCCTCCTTCATATGACTGTAAACTATATAATGAACCTACTGTGAGCTTCTATACCTGGTCCTTGACCAATGCCTCTTTCATATGACTGTAAACTATATAATGAACCTACCATGAGCTTCTGTACCTGGTCCTTGACCAATGCCTCCTTCATATGACTGTAAACTATATAATGAACCTACTGTGAGCTTCTATACCTGGTCCTTGACCAATGCCTCTTTCATATGACTGTAAACTATATAATGAACCTACTGTGAGCTTCTATACCTGGTCCTTGACCAATGCCTCTTTCATATGACTGTAAACTATATAATGAACCTACCATGAGCTTCTGTACCTGGTCCTTGACCAATGCCTCCTTCATATGACTGTAAACTATATAATGAACCTACCATGAGCTTCTGTACCTGGTCCTTGACCAATGCCTCTTTCATATGACTGTAAACTATATAATGAACCTACCATGAGCTTCTGTACCTGGTCCTTGACCAATGCCTCCTTCATATGACTGTAAACTATATAATGAACCTACTGTGAGCTTCTATACCTGGTCCTTGACCAATGCCTCTTTCATATGACTGTAAACTATATAATGAACCTACTGTGAGCTTCTATACCTGGTCCTTGACCAATGCCTCCTTCATATGACTGTAAACTATATAATGAACCTACTGTGAGCTTCTATACCTGGTCCTTGACCAATGCCTCCTTCATATGACTGTAAACTATATAATGAACCTACCATGAGCTTCTATACCTGGTCCTTGACCAATGCCTCCTTCATATGACTGTAAACTATATAATGAACCTACTGTGAGCTTCTATACCTGGTCCTTGACCAATGCCTCCTTCATATGACTGTAAACTATATAATGAACCTACCATGAGCTTCTATACCTGGTCCTTGACCAATGCCTCTTCCATATGACTGTAAACTATATAATGAACCTACCATGAGCTTCTGTACCTGGTCCTTGACCAATGCCTCTTTCATATGACTGTAAACTATATAATGAACCTACCATGAGCTTCTGTACAAGGTCCTTGACCAATGCCTCCTTCATATGACTGTAAACTATATAATGAACCTACCATGAGCTTCTGTACCTGGTCCTTGACCAATGCCTCCTTCATATGACTGTAAAATAAATAATGAACTATCATGTCATAACTTACCACTGAAACCAAACAGGTGTTAACCAAATTGTCAGGAGCCTGTAGTACAGTGGTTGTCATTGGTACCAAGTCAGGAGCCTGTAGTACAGTGGTTGTCATTGGTACCAAGTCAGTTGCCTGTAGTACAGTGGTTGTCATTGGTACCAAGTCAGGAGCCTGTAGTACAGTGGTTGTCATTGGTACCAAGTCAGGAGCCTGTAGTACAGTGGTTATTGTTGGTACCAAGTCAGGAGCCTGTAGTACAGTAGTTGTCATTGGTACCAAGTCAGGAGCCTGTAGTACAGTAGTTGTCATTGGTACCAAGTCAGGAGCCTGTAGTACAGTAGTTGTCATTGGTACTAAGTCAGGAGCTGTAGTACAGTGGTTGTCATTGGTACCAAGTCAGGAGCCTGTAGTACACTGGTTGTCGTTGGTACCAAGTCAGGAGCCTGTAGTACAGTGGTTGTCATTGGTACCAAGTCAGGAGCCTGTAGTACAGTGGTTGTCATTGGTACCAAGTCAGGAGCCTGTAGTACAGTGGTTATTGTTGGTACCAAGTCAGGAGCCTGTAGAAAAGTGGTTGTCATTGGTGCCAAGTCAGGAGCCTGTAGTACAGTGGTTGTCATTGGTACCAAGTCAGGAGCCTGTAGTACAGTAGTTGTCATTGGTACCAAGTCAGGAGCCTGTAGTACAGTGGTTGTCATTGGAACCAAGTCAGGAGCCTGTAGTACAGTGGTTGTCATTGGTACCAAGTCAGGAGCCTGTAGTACAGTAGTTGTCATTGGTACCAAGTCAGGAGCCTGTAGTACAGTAGTTGTCATTGGTACTAAGTCAGGAGCTGTAGTACAGTGGTTGTCATTGGTACCAAGTCAGGAGCCTGTAGTACACTGGTTGTCATTGGTACCAAGTCAGGAGCCTGTAGTACAGTGGTTGTCATTGGTACCAAGTCAGGAGCCTGTAGTACAGTGGTTGTCATTGGTACCAAGTCAGGAGCCTGTAGTACAGTGGTTATTGTTGGTACCAAGTCAGGAGCCTGTAGTACAGTGGTTATTGTTGGTACCAAGTCAGGAGCCTGTAGTACAGAGGTTGTCATTGGTACCAAGTCAGGAGCCTGTAGTACAGTGGTTGTCATTGGTACCAAGTCAGGAGCCTGTAGTACAGTAGTTGTCATTGGTACCAAGTCAGGACCCTGTAGTACAGTGGTTGTCATTGGTACCAAGTCAGGAGCCTGTAGTACAGTGGTTGTCATTGGTACCAAGTCAGGAGCCTGTAGTACAGTGGTTGTCATTGGTACCAAGTCAGGAGCCTGTAGTACAGTGGTTATTGTTGGTACCAAGTCAGGAGCCTGTAGTACAGTGGTTGTCATTGGTACCAAGTCAGGAGCCTGTAGTACAGTGGTTGTCATTGGTACCAAGTCAGGAGCCTGTAGTACAGTGGTTGTCATTGGTACCAAGTCAGGAGCCTGTAGTACAGTGGTTGTCATTGGTACCAAGTCAGGAGCCTGTAGTACAGTGGTTGTCATTGGTACCAAGTCAGGAGCCTGTAGTACAGTAGTTGTTATTGGTACCCAGTCTGTCATATTTGTTTTTCTTTAATTGTTTTGTTATAAAGTAGGCCATTAGTTTTCTTGTTTGGACTCTTTCACAATTTTTTATGTTGGGCCCTTTAAAGCCAACTATATTGTATGGGTTTTTCTTATTGCTAATGGTCATATGGTGACCTATAATTGCTTACTGCCACTTCATCTTAACTCTGGAGGATAGTTGTCTCATTGGCAATCATACCACATCTCCTCATTTTTATATTGATATTAGTTGAAAAGCTTTAAAATTGAAATTGATCTGATCAAATGCAAGAAAACTAGTATGGCTAGAGGTATAGTGGGAGGCTTGAGATCTCAAAAAACATGTTTAACCCCGCCGCATTTTTGCGCCTATCCCAAGTCAGGAGCCTCTGGCCTTTGTTAGTCTTGTATCATTTTTAATTTTTGTTTCTTGTGTATAATTTGGAGTTTAGTATGACGTCCATTATCACTGAACTAGTATACATATTTGTTTAGGGGCCAGTTGAAGGATGCCTCCGGGTGCGGGAGTTTCTCGCTGCATTGAAGACCCGGTGGCCTTCGGCTGTTGTCTGCTCTATGGTTGGGTTGTTGTCTCTTTAACACATTCCCCATTTCCATTCTCAATTTTAGTATACAAGCTTTTGGTTTTGGTTGTAAGACAAGTTAATTAAATTATAATAAAACATATTTAAATGATAAGCTGTTCGATCCTGATAAAAAAGATATAATCAAACAAATTGAACTATGAGCTAGCCTATTTCTAAATAATTATACCCCACGATTGTTAAACAGGTAGTTGATGAGCGATGAATGTGACTACACATCAATATAGCATATTCATATGGAGCATCATACCATGTTTCAGGAAGCTCTGAATTGTAGTTCCTGAGAAAAATGTGACTGAAATGTCATACATAGCCATTTTGTGTAATAAAATACATGATATTATACAAGTGTTCAGCAAGCAGAATGTTGATATGCAATGAATGTGAAAATGAATTAAAGGGATTGAATGCCTGCATTAAGCTTTCTACCAAAAGTCAGGAAACTCTGAAAAGAAAAGCTTTTAAACAGTGTGCAATATTTATCACTGATCTAATCACATCAAAACATATAATTTGAATGTTTTCAACTGGTGAATGTATACTGATTTTACAGTGTCAGGGAAATAAAAAGGTCATTCCTTGGGAAATTTCTAAGATCTCCTTAATCAAAATATAATAAACATTTGATTAATTACTTAATCAAAACTATAAGTAGAACTATATACAAATGTAGCCTAAGGTAATCTGATAGCTATTTGAATTTTGTAAAAACATTTCCACAAAAATGCATTCTATGGAAAATATAAGCCTTTTCAAGCAACTTTGAATGAAATGGTGGGTATATGTCAAAGAAACAGCAATCCTACAAATGAAACCAAAACAACATTGATTAACATGTTTATCTTGATGAATTTCATTATGTTCAATATAATAAAAGATGTGGTATGAGTGCCAATGAGACTACTCTCCATCCAAATCACAATGTCATAAACATGTGAAAGCGCTCTCACAGGCAAACAACCCATAACTGTAAAATATATAATGGCATACACCACAAGCAAGGGGAAACATTCTACTGCATCCACACAGCACGAGCAACAAACCCTGCAGTAAATATAAATAAGAAGATGTGGTATGAGTGCCAATGTCCCCTTCACATCAGATGAAATATGAAAGCCTGATTTTTCATGAGATACTATAATCAATTTTCATATATTTCTAAACATATTCCTCATACTGTGTATTCATTATTATTTCGTGGGATACCAATTTTTGTGAATTTCAAAAATCAACTGATGAAGAGTCATGCTACAAAGATCATCATAATTTTTGCAGTTCAGTGAAGCTTTAATATAATCATATACAATATAGGTGAAGAAACGTATCATATTCCGGTAAACATTTGATTATGTTAAACTGTTCTAATGTATACTGAAATATATCTAACTTTATAGATCTAATATATTGAATATTTTCCCTAGATATTCAATAACTAATATACAGGGAAACGTAATTGAAGCTGTAAATTAAGTAAATTTTTAACAGCAAAGGTGCAGTAAAATTGATTAATTTGTGTTTAAAAAAAAATTTTCTTCAAGCTTGTATGCAGACTTTCATTGACTTTGGCAAAATCACGAATCAAATATCCTCGAAAACAAAATTTTTCTTTGATCCATGAAAATTGCTACCCACCAAAAAAAAAATCCACTGTAAATATACTTAAACATTAAACTATGTGCCATTAATTATGAATTCTTTTGAGAAACACTCTCACACAATAAAAATCCATGGTAATCAACTGTTAAGAAACATAAATTGAAGCAGTTCTTATGTTGAATTAAAGACACCCTATGACTCAAAAACATTTTATTTGGCCATGTAAACTATTACAAAAACAATTAAAATTTTATTACCTAAAAATCATCCATGGTTATTATGTGTTTGTTTGATATTTATAAGGGAACAGACAGTATCAAGATCTAATGGCATTGGTCCAACATAGTTTTAATTATCAGTTGGTTAAATTTATTTACTATCAACAGAATAGTTTTCTATTTACCATACTATTTTTGATGAATTGAACAGCTTTGTCTTTATTAACACCTCTCCAGTCATCCAATATATAACTTATACAGCAGGCACAATAAACAAATCTCATGTCATTCTCACTGCCCTCTGGTACACAACAGAAACTGAAATAGTAAAGTAAAAATACCCAAATCTCATGTCATTCTTACTTCCCTCTGGTACACAACAGAAACTGAAAAAGTTATGTAAAAATACACTAATCCGTGTCATTCTCACTGCCCTCTGGTACACAACAGAAACTGAAAAAGTAATGTAAAAATACACTAGTCCGTGTCATTCTCACTGCCCTCTGGTACATAAAAAGAAACTAAAAAAGTCATGTAAAAATACACTAATCTGTGTCATTCTCACTGCCCTCTGGTACACAAAAGAAACTAAAAAAGTCATGTAAAAATACACTAATCTGTGTCATTCTCACTGCCCTCTGGTACACAAAAGAAACTAAAAAAGTCATGTAAAAATACACTAATCTGTGTCATTCTCACTGCCCTCTGGTACACAAAAGAAACTAAAAAAGTCATGTAAAAATACACTAATCTGTGTCATTCTCACTGCTCTCTAGTACACAACAAAAAATAACAAGCATTCTATGAGTATTGCATGGCAATACATAGTCCCCTATTGGTTACAAATTCATTGTAATGGAACGACATTCTAACTTGATCTATAACTTGTCATGGTGTAAACTACATAAAAATATCAAGTCAAAATCTTCAAGCATGACGAAAAAAAAACTGTTGAAAACTGATTATTTAAGTGAATTTTCTATGTCCAAAGACCATACATAACTCTGCTCAAATTATCAGACTGGAACAAAATTCCAACTTGTTCTGTAACTTGTCATGATAAAACTATATACTAATTATCAAATCAATATCTTCAAGAATGACAAACAAACCTACATGTACCACTAAGTTCTTCAAACAATTTACCCAAAGAAAAGGAAAAAAATCCAAAATGTCATTTTGTCTTTTAAAAAGTGAGTTATTTCCCTTTGAACAGAAATCTACTAATTAATAAGTATTTCATCAAAAATATAATTCTAGGGAAAGGGTTTTAACTGAACAAAGAGAAAAGCTAAAATCGTGAAAATTGAACTTGACCTGTAACTTGTCACGATAAATCAATAAACCAAATATCAAATCAATATCTTCAAGCACGAAGAAAAAAAGTCTGGAAAACTGATTTGCCAGACTGACAGATGGACAGACAGACGGAAGGAGTGCAAACCTAAAGTCCCCATCGACTTCGTCGGTAGGGGACTAAAAAAGTAATGACACAATACACAAATCTCATGTCATTCTCACTGCCCTCCGGTACACAACAGAAACTGAAAAAGTAATGTAAAAGTACACAAATCTGATGTTATTCTCGCTGTTCCCTTGTACACAACAGAAACTAAATAAAACTAATGACACAATACACAATTCTTATGTCATTCTCACTGTCTTCAGTTACACAGAAACTGAAAAAAATGGTGAAATGTTACATAGCAAATATGATGTTGTTCTCACTGCCATAAGGTACACAAATATGATGTTGTTCTCACTGCCATAAGGTACACAAATATGATGTTGTTCTCACTGCCATAAGGTACACAAATATGATGTTGTTCTCACTGCCATAAGGTACACAAATATGATGTTGTTCTCATTGCCATAAGGTACACATATATATGATGTTGTTCTCACAACCCTAAGGTACACAAAATGATGATACATACCTTCCATCCTCCTGTTGTAGATATCTTAGTCCTGTAGTCACAGATCTTTTGTCTACACCTGACAAATCATTCCCTAATATTATCAATGACAATAAAGCTGTGTATGTATTTGCAATATGCCCTGAGTCAAGTGGAATTGGATGCTTTCTTGCCTAAAAAAACCAAACATCATTGAAAACTTAAAAGATGTTTGTTTTGAATACTTGGTGAGGTCGTTCACAATTTTAATGTCTATTATTGAGCTTTGCTACATGTCAATGAAGCTAGTAAATGAGTGCAGTATATATCCACCAATAAAATCAAGATAAATGTTGGATAGTACTCAAAGCAACACTTCCATACTAATTCATTTATAGACTGAATATCATAAAAATAAGGAGATGTGGTATGATTGCCAATGAGACAACTATCCACCAAAGTTCAAAGGAAGTGGATGTTGCCTGCTTATAAAAGACTGAAACTTATGCTTAGAGTCTAGAAGTTACAATATAAATTTTATCCCTTAATATTTTTATCTAGAGAATGAAATTGTTGTAAAACTAAAACTCTTTGAGACAAACTTGTCCTATTTGTAAATTTACCAACTTTGTTTTGTAGCAAGAAAATGAGTCCCATGACCCCAATTTTTTTTTCTTTCTGAAAACACATTTTAAGATCTTCTCATTTCTAAATGTATAATCTATACAAAATCTGATAATTTTGCAAAACCTAAAGCTTAAAAAAAAGCCTAGTAACCTATACTTTTATTATATTTCTGAAAAAAGTATGATATAAACTACATTTTGGAAAATTATTAAATTATTTTTAAAAAATCCATCAGTTTTCATTTAGAACCCCATCTACCTTAACAGGACCCAGGAACGTATATATTATGTTAGATATACTGTTCCCAGCAGGACCTTACAACGCAAAAAGTAACACATGTAAATATACATTAGGTAGCAAATGTAATGATCTAAATAATTATGATTTGATCTTTTTAAAAAGTTTTAAAAATTGCATCCAAACCTAGTACTTTAAAAATCAATTATATTAATAAAAGTTAAAAACATATATTTCCAATCTACAAGTTTTGCAAATTCCTGTTTTAAAAAGGGATATACATTATGTACATAGCAGAAAACCAAATAGTCATTAAAAAACCCATTTACTTCTGTCCTTTAAATATCTGCCACTGATCAGATTAAAAATAATTCATACATAACCACATTTTTAAATACCAGCCTCTGTGTGAAGGGAGATAACTCAAATTCCAAAACTCCAAAATCCTGAAGATTTGTAAATGTTCACATCAGAGCAATTTTTGAAGAATGGACAAATATGTGAGATTAATCATTGCAATTTCAAGAAGATCTGCATATTACAATGGATATATAATTTCAAGAAGATCTACATATTACAATGGATATATTCTGCCCCTGATTGACTACTGCTGTATTATTTGGGGTGAATGTAAAAATGAAGGGATAGCAAGAATTTTAAAACTCCAAAAAAGGGCAGCAAGATTAATTCTAGATGCAGATCCTTTATCCCCCTCAGCCCCCTTATTTAAAAAACTTGGGTGGATGACAGTTGACAATAGAATAAAATACCACAAATATTTACTTCTATATAAATGTATGCGTATGGAAGCACCAATGTACCTAGTTCAAAAGTTTAAACTGAAATCAGATAATAATCCTTACTCCCTGAGAGGCGTCACTCAAGGTAATCTGATAGTTCCTAAGCCAAAAGCTGAGCTATTTAAGAAATCTTTTGTTTATTCTGGATCAGTGTTATGGAATGGACTACCACACAAAATGCGTAAAGCTCAAAACACTTATACTTTTAAACAAAGTATCAAGAAGTACTTAACACAGTCCTGATAAGATTATATTTTCTACAATGTATTTGTATATTCTTTTATTTATATTTGTATTTGATTTTTTGACTACATGTACATCTTGAACAGCCTTATATCTTATCATGTTAGTAATATTACATTGAACTAATTGACTGTAAATTAACTATGTGTAAATATCTGTTTTTGATTGTATTGTAATTTGTATGTGAGGGCCTCAGGGAAGATTAGTTTATTGTAACTAACTGAGTTTACCCTCTTTAAATAAAGAATTTATTATTATATTATTATTATTATATAGATGTATGTATCAGATATCAGAATGTAAGTTCTAATTCTTGCAATTATTTGCAAAAACCTCACAATTATTTCTGAATTATAGTACTTTAATTAAGAAATACAAAAAGATTCATCATTCACCTCTTCAGTCTTGAATGGATTTCCTAATGTTGTCGAGCCTCTGAAGCCACACTGGTGTATATTACTATCTATAAATAACAAATATAAATACTTTAAAACCACATTAGTCTTTAGGCAATACAATGTATATAAAGATGACTTCACACATACATTTATATTTTTATATAAAACAATTTTCTAAAATTCTAAGCTGATTTATACCTTCCCAAAACTGTTGTTCATTCATTGGGACTGAGACTACTATAATACTAGTCTCGGATTGGGATGAAAATCTATTACAGAGTGTAATCAATAAATTTGCTTTACACTCTTTAAAACTTTATAGCACTGTATTCGTACTTTCTCTGAATGTTCGATGTTTACTTATGTTAATGAATTTGGTGTTATTGATGAATTTGAGTTTATCTAATTTTGCAGTATTTAAAGGAAATCTGTAAAGTTTCATGGTATTTAAATGTTTTACAATATAAAACAAAATAAAAATGGTTATTCAATCACCAAAAAAAAAAGAAAATTTACACAATAAAAGAGTCACATTTGCCTGGCTTTGGTCATTATTTGTTGGATTTAGTCCTTTTCTCTATAATTGTTTATTTTTTTTGTTCTGATCACTAATGTTGTTTTAACTGTTTCTCAGTCCTGATAATGACATGTCAGATGCATATATGGTATTAACCTGGGGGATGTTAATTGGTGGGTTTTTTTTCATTCGTGTCAATTACTTTTGTATTCCCCTGATTTCATTTTAACGAAAATATAACTATAGCGTGATGAATTTATCACATTGTATATATTGTACATGTATCTATTTTTCTGTAATTTGTCAGAGAGCCTCAGGGAAGATGCTTACTGTGTTACCTTCTTAAAGTCATTACTAACTTTACTTACTTTACTACTTATAGTTTCAAAATCTGAGGACATATAGGTCAAATGCATACTTTGCTTCATGTAATCTTAACTTCTTTTCTTTATCAAGTTTATGGAGAAAAGTAAATCATAATCCTATTCAAAATTAATATTAAATAGGTGTAGTTACTTAAACTACCATTGACATATCATTGCAAGCTATAGGTCACAAATTACATACCTATGTCATCTGGCAGCAGCTGCAAGGAGTATATCCAATTTATAATATTTTCTTTGTCATTTTCCAGAACATCAAGTGAGTCCAGCATATCTAATCCAGAGATTCCAAAAAATCCTACTGTCATTCTGAAATAAAAAAAAATAAAAAATTTACATTTCATAATTAAGGTCAGCATTAAATTATTTTGTTTTGCCTGCAACCACCCCATTTCTGTTGAGTATGGATAAGTACATGTGGATAGGCAAATTCTGTTTTTTGTTTTTTTATCTTTTTACCAGAGTTATGAAAAACTGAGTGTGCTGAACTGGATGTCTTTCTAAGGAATCTGATAAGCAGTCTTTTATGTAAATATACACTGTTACTGATAAACACACTAAAGTTTTTATAACTAGAACATACTATCAGTTTAACATCAGAACGGATTAAATAGAACAATATACTGTACAATAAAACTTGTTTTGCATTAAAAATTTTAAACTAATATTTGGCATGTTTGGTATGGAAATTTAAATCTTAAAATTTTTAAAAAATCTTTTACTCCCCCCTCCAAGTCATATATTGACACTCACAGATAGAAATAGACATGATTAATTGTACTACTTAGAATACATATACATGTATTTCATATCATAGAATTTGGAGCCCATAATTTGATATTTGTAAAATTTAGTTTAGACTTTAGGTTTAATACACAATCTTCCTAAAGATTTTATAAAAATTTCTAATATAATTAATATGGTAATTATTCCACCAGATAAGAGGTACATGTACATTGTGTGTGTCTGTCCCAAGTCAGGAGCCTGTAATTCAGTGGTTGTCATTTGTTGCTGTATATATATATTTGTTGTTTATTGTTTAAAACATAAATCTGGCAGATTGTTTTCTCGTTTAAATTGTTTTACATTTTTCATTTCAGGGCCTTTTTTTTAGCTTACTATGTGGGGGTTTTGTTCATTGTTGAAGGCTGTACAGTGACCTATAATTGTTAACCTTTTACATCATTTGATCTCTAACGGAGAGTTGTCTGAGTGATCTCGTCTCTTTGGCAATCATACCATATCGTCTTATCTTAATATTGCACATGTACAAATGTATGATAAACCTGCCTCTATCAGTGTTTTTAACTAGAACATGTGAAATGCAAGATTGTCTCTGAATAAATACAAACAAAAGCTGTGTATTTTTATTTAGAATAATGTGAGGGAGCACATCAGGGACTTACATAGCTTAGCTTGTTGCCAAATCTAATTTAATCTTAAACTTTATTGTTAACTACAGCAAATATTCTTTATCCTTTGATTGGCTTTCATACTCAAATATTGAATTAGATATAACCATTTTTGAAGCCTCTGATGGAGTAATCAATAAGTCAAATATACAGACAAATACTATTAATAACAACATTTTAGGGCAGTAATCACATGGTCGATAAGTAATTTCTGCATATTGTGCATTTATTTAGATAATCAAAGTGTGATCAGGTATTACTAATTAATTTGCCGATTTAAAGAAACATTTTTCTCCTGTTGATCAAACAAGTTAGCTTCTTGTTTTTATATCGTATTAAGTTTTTTTTTAATTTTCATTTTGATTGTTTTGTTTCGCTTTTGTAAATTTGGTTTCATTTTGTTTCGTTTGGTTTCAATCAGTTTTTATTCCATTTTGCACTTTACAGCTGGTACTTTAATTTTTACGTACTAATCACACGACAAACTGTCAGTCGCATGACCACAGGCATTTGTTTTATGAGATGGTAAAAGACCTCCCTCTTTCTTTAAAAAGTTATTCAGTTAGTGAAAAACTGGAAGTCATGTTTTTTGTAGGTGGTCAAGGGAAAATAAATTGATAAAGCTTGTAGATTGCACTATATATGTTATTGTAATCTTAGATGGTAAGTTAGACCATAATGAAGATTTCAACGAAATGTTAGAAATGAATGGTCCTCTTAAGACAAAGACCACTGAAGATTTGAGACTTTCTTCTTTGATGACCATTGCTCTGTCATCATTTCAATATATACATGATATAATTGATCATTATTCTTATTTATAAAAGGGCTAAACAACCCTTGGCATATTATTCATAAATATGAGTATTAGTTCTAAAAATGTCCATTTTTATATATCATTAGATAATTATCAAGATTATTATTTTTAGTAGTTAGTGCTTCAAATCTGATAAATTGCATTAATTATCTTTTGCCACCTGAAACAATTTTTTAAACCACAATATTGGTGTTGCATGGGTTTGTGGCTTGGTGGTTAAGACCGATGGCTACAGTGTTAAAGGTCTCAAGTTTGATCATGACTGATGGCGCTTGAATTTTCAGTACATTAGTAAAGTGATTTTCACTGTCCTACACACATCTCTGGTACCAAGCCCAGAGTTTAAACTAGAATGGGTACTTTGGAGGCTTCAGGTGGTCAAAGTGGCCCCTGACTTTGACCTGGAGATCAATCTGCAGATACATGTATCTGTTCAGTTTGTCTGTTCCCATCGAGAAGCCAGTGGTTCTCTCTGAGTACTTTAGATTCCTTCACCATAATAACAGCTTTCCAGTGTCCTAGCACTCCCTTTGTGTTGGGAATTATCCTTGGTGTAAAGAAGTTAATGTATACAAGATATTGACACATCTCCATTAATCCTAATAGGGGTGTTAAATAAGGGAGGGATCTACTTATGTGACGGGATTGCTTCCCTTAGTAAATGTGGTAGATACTTAGTCAGCTGTAAGCGGTTAAGCTGAGGAAGTACTTCTTTAGCTCAGTTGGTATACGCGCTGCCTTGTAACACAGAAGTCCCGGGTTCGAGTCCCAGTGGAAACAAAGATGATTTTGTAAGAAGAATCATGCTCTCCGGTTACATTGGCGCCCAACTAAAAAACCCACAGTGGTTAGAGAGGAATTCTAGCTAGGGTATGTATGTGAGAGTCATAATGGTATGATGACTCTTGAGGTGGGGGAAGTGTGACAGGATTGCTTCCCTAAGTAAATGTGGTAGATACTTAGTCAGCCATAAGCGGTTGAGCTAAGGAAGTACTTCTTTACACAGAGGTCCCGGGTTCCAGTCCCGTGGAGACAAAGATGATTTTGTAAGAAGAATCATGCTCTCCGGTTACACTTATATACATACTGGTACAATTTTGTATTATTTTTCAAGGAATACAATAGGCCTCATTGCTATTCAGGAATCTGCAACACTTGAACTATTGATGTCATACAACAATCCCTTTTCCTTTACGGCATCTGACATTTCCAGTTATGGCGTGAAAATTTAAGGGAACTTTTGTTATGTCCAAGTAAATTTTTGGCTGACAAGTAGCGATAAGGTGTATACTAGCACAGAATTTTGTTTCAGTATTGTACACTTCTGTTTGCCAAGTACAGGAGTTCCAAATATTGTTGCAAAGTGGATATGTGAAAATATGAGTCAGTCAACTTGTGCCGTTGTGGCAAGAAAGAGGGAGGGGCATTTGCCATCGAATGAAACAAGTGCCAGTGGCAGTGGTCATGACTGTCCCTTTTCGTGGTTTTTAAAATTTGGTAGTGCATTTTTGCTTCAGATCAAATTTTAATCTACATTACAGACCTGTTGTTGTCCAGAGAACAGTAGCGAGATGGCAGAATCTGAAGACATCTTTCAAAAAATTTAATGTGTTTCTTTTTTAGAAATGTTTGTGCCATTCGTTCTTTTTTATCTTCTAACACTGAAGAGTGTCTCAGTGGAGGTCTTTCTAAAAGCCAGTCTTGATCCCGGTAGTATCCCTGGTTCAGTATAAAAAAAATCGATCTCTCGATCACAGTCTTAATATTAAGATAGAACACATATAAATTGAATATTCTATGAAGAATAATGCAAAGTTGTATTTCTATCAAAAGATATAACATATGTCGGTTGGACTAATTCCGCTATTCAGTGGTCACAGGTTTTAGGTACATGTACATAAGACATAATAAGACATTTATTATAAAGCTTTATTTTAAAGAGGCATTAGCTACGAGATATATAAAAAAATAGAATATGATTTTTGTTTGTTCAATCACTAATGAAAGTGAAATAGTGAAATAATAATTCGCTTTTAGCAGCCAGTTTAGTTCAATTTTGTCAAAATAAGCTAAGAAACATCGCTGATGAATTATTCACTTGCAAGTGAATAATTCGACCTCATTGAATCCGTATTCATGTGACCTTCAATTTAACCCATTAGCTAGAGATTGGTTACGCAAGTATTAGTCGTGTTCAGCCATTAAAAGGAAAATAATCATTATGTCAACATTGTAAAAACGATGATTAACTTATTTTTTTAACCTATAACATGAAATCAAACAGACCTAGAAAAGTCCAATTGCACGAGGTCGCTATCTATTTATACTTATGTTTATGTTTATATCGGGTTATGTGACCGACGGCAGTCCTCGGAGGTCATCTCGATGGTTAGTGATTAGATGGCGTCTAGACTAAAATACACACGAAATGCTGATATATACCGGTATTATCGAGTCTGTGCATTGTTAATTGTTTATTTCAGACTTATTGTAATTTGGATATACGTTTTTGTATGATATAAATCAAATATGAGAATTTGAGTCAAATCGGGGAAAATGAATTTGACAGCTAATGCCCCTTTAAGCCGGTATATACAAGGAAATTAAAAACATATGCTCTGAAGAGCTTTCAAAACCACCAAAATAAAATCACATCAAACAATACATGCATATCAACACATGCACACATACCATTAAATGATAGACTAAGAGCCATAGTTCATATTATGCATACATAAACACAAACGTTCAATCGAGCAGCTCAAACACACATATTTAAGCATGCATTTATGGCGTAAAAAAGTAAATGTAAAAGGGTTTGCAGCATCAAAACTTAATTATATAAGCAACAACAAAAATAGCAACGGCACTTTAAGTTAACATACAATTTTGCCATGCTGAAAACAAAGCATAAAACTAAGAATAATCAACAGGATTAACTGGTTCTGTAAACATTGAGGTTATGGATTGGAACCCCGGCAAGGTCAAACAAAAGACTTAAAAACACGTATTTGCTGTTTCTCCGCTAAACACTAGGCAATAAGGAGTAAGAGCAAAGACTGGTTGTCTTGGAGTCATTATAATATGTCCGAGAAGATGACATGTCTTCATGTGGACTGTTTCCTTGTGAACTAGCACGTTAAGAACCCGGCTCAGCGTGTCGGTCTTGTATAAAGCAGGGTTTATTTATATGCACATCTCAATATCATATTCTCGTCATGAATATGCACCGAATTTGCCACTGGACATTAAACAGCCACCCGGGTCATCATCATCATCCGATGATTATTTTTCCTTGATGATCTTTTGAAGTTCATATTTTATTGAATATTTTACTGTTGAAAGATTCTCTCTATCAAAGATAGGCGAAATATAAAAAAGGGACATTCAAACCCACAAGTCGAAAATAAACTGACAACGACATGGCTAAAAAGAAAAAAAAAGACAAACAGACAAACAACAGTACACAAAACACATCATAGAAACCTAAAAACTGAGTAACTAGGACCCCACAAAAAAACTGGGGGTGCTCCGGAAGTTTTGAATGTAACTTTTTTATATTTCGCCTATCTTTGATAGAGAGAATCTTTCAACAGTAAAATATTCAATAAAATATAAACTACAAAAGATCATCAAGGAAAAAAAATCATCGGATCATCGATGATGATGACCCTGGTGATAAACCTTGACCTGCTGATCATTTTTTCCCTATGTTTTACTTTAAGCAACAGTGGTTATATTTGTTGATGGATCAAATTCGTGTATACAATTTTAAAAACTTAATACTAGTACAATCAGGAACATTCAGGTAAAGATTGGTAACATTTGGCACGGTAGTTTCAGAGAAGATTTTTTTACATCCAGAGTCTGTGCAAATGATGCAAGCACCACTATGTGCACGGATTGTGAGATGGCCATCTAGACTAATGAAACAAACAAAAAAATTATTTGCAAGCTTGTTTATAAGGAAAAATAGAATGCACGAATATGTATAAAATTACAGTCAAGCAGAGCAACAGCAGTAAGTACCACTCCTGAGTACTGAATAGGACTTCTTATACAATATGTGAAGCTGTTTTCAGTCCTAAAGTGGTTTTGTAAACTATTTCATAGAGAAGCAGCGCCGAGACGAAAAGATCTCTTATCATATTTGGTAGTTAAAACATGTGGTATTCCCAGGATATAACTGTTACTCAAAGAATATTTTGAATGTGATTCGTCAGAAGTCACAATCGTTCAACCATTGTCGTTGTTATAAGCAAAAATATAGCGTGATTCGTCAAAATCAGTTGATTTTTTCTATCGTCATAAAGAAATGAAATCTGGATTGTTTTAGGGTCGTACCAATACCTACAAAATACTTTACCCAGATATATCGACGTTTTCAACGCAATTCAAATTGAAGAACCTTTGTGAGCACGCTCACATACACTACGCCCCACATTGTCACTTGGCTAATTAACAAAATCTCACCAGATTCCTAAGTTCAAAGACTCATAACTCCTACAAAAGTTAACTGATAAACTTTCTTCGTATCTCTTCATATTATGTCCTCATTAACAACAAGGTTACGTGAAATTCTGTTGTGTGGTTTCAGAGGATTTGCGATGACAAACTGTTGCAGTAGTATATTTAGGCCAAAATTCTAAGTTCAAAGGGGCACAACTCCCTGAAAAAAAGGAATCATAATTTCCTGTCCATATGCACATCTACATAGTATGTCCTTATTATCTACGAAGTTACGTGAAATTCTGTTGTGATGTTTCAGAAGAGTTGCGATGACAAGAACATGACCGACGGACGAACGGATTGACGGACTGACAGACTGACGGACGGGACAAAATATCATACCGTCGCATGGGGTATAATTATGTAAGTTTAGGGACTTCAAGATCGCTAAGGAACAGAGAAATTACTGTAACCACGAAGAACGTATTAAGCAATGCCATTTATATGAATCACTGAGTAACAAGACGCACTAGCGTAGAAATAACTACTTACAAGTACGAAGCTCCTGCTTACCACAGTTTTTGGTATTTCGTGCTGCTAAATCTTTACTTTTCTGTGTGCTATTTTTGTGAAGTTCTGTTTGAATTTTCGTCGTTTTTTTCTTTAATCCATGGTAGAGTTTGTTTTTCCTTCGACTTATGTGTTTTGATTGCCTCCTTGATATCGTTTACTCTTCTTTTATTTAGATAAAAGTAACTGAAATTGTATTATACATACATGCAGGTCTGTCACGGAACCCAATTTTAGATTTGAAGCACGACAAACCATTTCTCAAAAAAATAAAAAATAAAATTATACTATAGTGAATCTTTTAATATTCAGTCGTTATCTTTTTTTTGAGAATATTTTTTTAAAGTAAATTTTCTTTAATATTTTGACTTCTATCACATGTTTTTTCTTCTATCCATACGATGATATAATAACAGTGGATTATATATTATGCTGTCCATCTAACTTCAATCTGGGCAAGCTGTCCATCTAGCCTCAATCTGGGCAATGCATTGCCACAAGTTGGTTGATTTGCAGTGGCGGATTTTCTGCAAGGTCAAGGTCAAATGTCTATCATCTTGCGTTTGTTGTGATGTTGGGTAACTATTTGGAGCTATGCCTCATATCTTCCTTTATAAAAGATTTTGATATATTTTTTTTTCATTGTTTGCACTGAATATTCTTCTATTCTTATACCACATACTGACGATAGTTTATATATGCTGCCCCTGTTTGATTTGTAAATAAGAACTGAACAGGGTTATTAATTATAAGTCAACTATCCCGGGTTCGACATGGAGCAGATTTCACTGTGTGTGCACGGTATTGCTTTGCTGTTAGATAGCGTTTAAAACGTTTCAAATGTTCTCCTTCGCTTTGCTCATCCAAACATAAAACTTTTCTGATTACTTCAAAATAAAAATAAAACAACTGAAGACTTCTATGGATTAAGAGACGCACCAAAGCAGTTTTAATAAATCATATTGGCTAGCATGAAATGTTATACATTATAATGTTTTAGTAAAATAATTAAGTCCAACACGTCAGCACAATCTACAAATATACAAATAATATGAACTAGAAAAAAATATACAAAGGTATTGTAATAATAACATCTAGCTATAACCGTATAACTCGCTTTTGTGTTTTCTTGATAATTATATAAAAGGTCGACAAAATTAAAAGAATTATATAAAGTTCTAAAAAAGTATAGCAACAATACTGAACTCCAAGGTCGCTGTTAGATTTTTTTCATCACATGACTATTTAAAAATCTCTTTATTTTCTATTCTTTAAGGACAGAATATGTATTCTTCTAGCTGTATATTCACCTTTACAATCAACATCACAATTTAGGATAGCAACATATCCCTAGTTGTTGTCATGTTGTTCACAATATTGGGGTAGCAACAGAGCCCTAGTTGTTGTCAAGTTATTCACAATATTGGGATAGCAATAGAGCCGTAGTTGTTGTCATGTTGTTCACAACATTGGGATAGCAACATATAGATATAAGAAGATGTGGTATGAGTGCCAATGAGACAACTCTCCATCCAAGTCAAAATTTATAAAAGTAAACCATTATAGGTCACAGTACGGTCTTCAACACGGAGCCTTGGCTCACACCGAACAGTAAGCTATAAAGGACCTCAAAAATTACTAGTGTAAAA